TAAGCAACTCCGTTGAGCCGCCTGCTCCGAAATGCAAACACATTTTTGGCTTTGGTTTTCGGACGTACAAGCGAAATCGAAACTTGCTTTGTTCAGCAAAAATGATTTTGCAGTCTTGTTCTTTGGCTCACTTTGCATCCTCAACTTTGTGTGGGTACAGCTGAGTTCATATATCATTCATCGTGCAAACCGATCAGCCAATCTGCTGGGCCACAGCCTCAATTCCCCACCTTAAATTTCAAATGAGTCAATATTGTCAAGAATCCAGGCATGTAGCCAGACCTCATGCAACACCTGCTCCCGCCAGTACCTACATTGGGTGATCCTTACTCTACCCCCGGCAACGGGGTGAAGTTAGTAGGCGCAGCTCCCCTTCCCGGGCGTGGCGTTTGGGGGCCAAATCTGGTGTCCCTGCTTTGACTTGTCTCTTGTATGCCCAGCAGCAACGCAACGAGTGCTTTGAGGGCTGGCTTGGATCCGTCTTGCCCGGGTGCAGGACCGCCTTCTTGCCGTGGAAGCGCCTGTGCTGCTCGCTCCGTTCGGGTTGTTGAGGAATGGGCTTCCTCTTTGCCGCCTTTGCCTCCAGCGTGCACTGCTGCCACTGCCGGCAGTTCTGACTGTTCTCAGCGTTCCACGGGTCTTGGCGATGAGGACCAAGGTCCGAAAAGGCTGAGCGCCTTCAACTCTTGTTCCTCTTCTTGTTGACTGCCAAGCGGCCATTGTTGCCATCTTGCAAGGGGGTCGTGAGTATCCTTTGTGGGTGAGATATACGCTCTTTGCGTGCCTCGTAGGGTTTGTCTTCATTGGGTGCTGTCCCACGGCAGGGTTTCAGGTCGCTGGGTTCCATGGCCAGGTGCCACGCCTGAGGCACAGCGCACGGGAATGAGTGGGTGGGCCGCAAAGTCCGAGCAAGTTGCAAGCGACTCTTGCGTGGCTCTCAGCGCACCGTGCTATGCTTTGGGAGCTCCAAGCCATCCGCACCTCTGCCGATGCGGGGTTGCGAAAGGCTGAGACTTTGCAGTAGTTTCCGATCCCTAACTCCTAGGAATTAGCATTCTGGAGTCGCGCGTCTTGATTATCCTGGCAATGCCGAAATCTTCGTAGCTGAGACGTTGAAAAGTGACTCGGATTTGGGGATTGATGCTGTAACACCCTCTCTGGCACAACTGACGTAGGGCGTGCAACAGAGGGTGCCAAGGAGCCCGAGCTTGCAAAGGTTGCCTGGCGCGCAAACGTCTGACAGTTCCGCCTTCCCCTCCAATAGCAGTTCTGCGTTTCCACATCATCAGTTACTGACGCAAGAGAGGTACGCGCGGTTCAGACAAAGGTTCTTTGCGCGAACAGCGCGGCGGATGTTGATTGGCCGCCGGCTTAGCTTGTGTGATGCTCGGAGGAGTCGGAAAAAGAGCAGAGGCAACGACAGCAGCCTTGATGGCCACTCGCAGCCCCGCACGCCCCGCGGCAAAGAGCTCTTCCTGGGAATGACCATCACCTACGCCCTCGTTCAGATGCTTGAGAAAGCTCATCGCACCCTGGGACATTCTTGCGCTCCCTGTGCCCTTCGCGCTGGTTCAGGGGGCGGAGAAGACCAATCGAGCTTGGATCATCACCAAAGGAGAGGTGAACAAGCGCTGTGAGTACAAGAAGGCCGGGAAGTCTATCAAAAGAGTTTGGCTTATGGTGTGGCTTCGGTAAATTTGGAGCTGGCCCTTGGCAACTTACGGGCCCGATCTGCTTCACCTCCCCGCCACGAACTGTGGGTTCAGGTGCGCCCAACGGGGCTGGTAAAGCCCGATGACCCGGACGCCGCGAGGTGAGGTTCTTGGCCGCCGAGGCGCTGCGCGGAGTTGGTGGCGTCGTCATGGACACGAATGGAGACTGCTTCTGCGTTGACTTAGGTCATCGTGGCCATATGACCGGAGAGATGTGGAAGAACAAGCCGCCCTTCCGCCTCTGGCTGAACAAGGCTCGGAGCTTAGCCTCGCCGTAGTCTATGCTGTGCGTGCTGCGCGTGCTGTGCATGTGCGTCCTGTGCTTTGTGGCTTGCGCAGCCTTTCCGACTGCCGCCGATGAGATCATCTGGCGTGCCAAGGGTTACACAGGCCGTGGCGTGATGAAGTTCTACCATTTTACCCCTCTGGCGAGGACCTCGCGAAGGACATGGGCGTCCCACTGCAGACGACTGTTGGCACGCGCCAGAAGCACTTCGGGGGAACAAAGAAGCACCAAGACTACACGGGGCAAAGCATAGACCCAAAAGCTTCTCCAGGGTTGGGGGGATGTTTATGCTTACGCGTTATTTACAGCCACTGTTGCATGCCATGATGATGCGTCTACATCTTGAACTCCTGCGCCTGCTTGAAGTAGTCCTGTCAGCTCATGTTTATGCTTGGCGTGGGCTTGTAATCTCTCTTTCATCAGCTGCAACTTCTTTGCGCTCGAACATGGGCCTCCGCGTTGGTGAGCGTGGGCAGAGCTTTCTGTGCAAACCATGTCAGGCTGATGTGTGCTTGCCAGATCCTGGGTTGTGGATCTGCGTCAGCGCTGCTACTGGGTGCTGGTTGTGGGAGCCAGCTCCAGTTGGAGTTGTGACCTTCTTCGCAGGGACCGTCGGCACCGTCCGAAACTTGTGAAGAGCAAGGCGAAAGAAAGGAAGACGAGGCTTCCGTAGTCCATGGCCACATTGTCTTCCATTGTTTCGGACAATTCGCCGTCCCCAAAGAGTGGAAAGCAAACGGAAGCATTCACTCATGAAAGGCGTGAGCTGTACCTGCGCAAGTCAGACTCTTGCCCACAAGCGCAAGGCAGCCAAGTGATAGCCCTGGCAACAGCTGCGGCGATCTTTGCGGCCACGCCTTCCCTGCTCTACCTGAGGTGGTCGTCATGAAGAATGGTGCGCCGCCTCACCAGGAATGGTCCAGATGCGCCCTGGCAACAGCCTAGTGCTTCAGGCGGAGCAGATCAGGCTGATGGCAACGCCCTGCGTCGCAAGGTTTTTGAAATCCTGAACAAGGACACTGGCAACTTGCTGCAGGCCCATTGGCGTTACACAAGTGATCCTTGAGATGACCTTTCCTTGGATGTTTTTGCGGCGATGGATCCAGGCTCAGCTTGATGATGCCAAGGACGACATCGGCGACACTTGGACTTGGAAAGCTGCCGGCGCCTCTATCATCAAGGGGTACGCCCTTGTGTGAGATGCTAGAGTCGCTGCTGTCTTACTTTCTCACTCTGGCTTGACGCGCGGGAAGAGCACCTGGTTCATTGACCGCGCGGGGCCCTTACCGTCGGGGTTTTCCGTTTCCAAGACCTTGTGAATTGACTGGACCAAGCAAGACACATTACGCAGCTACTTGCAGCAGGTTGTCAAACACTCTGATTTGGGCTCGTGCTTGGACACAAGCAGCTTGAGCGAGCGAGGCTGATGCTCGCTATGAGCGTCCCGCCAGGTTATGGTTATGGTCCTTTGGCTACGCGTGCTGATGCAAGCGTTCTGCTTTCCTCTCTAGGCTTTATGGAGCTAGAAGTCGTGGATACGTATACTCGCAGACGGGGTTTGATGCGAACCTTTCGTGCCAAGCGTGTTGAAGACCTCGAGATTGTTCAGGGGTGTTGCAATGCAGGTCATGGAGTTGTTGATGCTCATTCCATGCTCCAAATCAAGAGATGGCGCAAAATTCTTTCCATGCAGGCTCTTGCCTCTGAGCGCAAGATCATGTATCATGCTTGCTCTTGGGATGATCGCTAGTGAGCCTCTAGTGCCGTTGTGCTGCTTACGGCCAATGTAGCGATGATGGGATTTGGGAAGCTCTCCTCTTTAATGCCATAGTACCGAGGAACAGACTGAAGATGATGTTGCCGCGGATCCCGGGCCTGCCGGCGATCTGATGCAGCTGGTGAGGCAGTCCTGGCCAGTGTATCCGCTTGGGATGCCCCGGAAGCAATGTCAGCTGCTGCCAAAGCGTCTCCTCCGAGGAAGCAGGCAGTTGCCAAGCCTTGTAACGCGGGTGGCGGCAATTGCTTTTACGCACTGGCTGCCGCTCTTTGAAGGGCCACCGGCAAGAAGCGAAGCCACCGACAACTTCATGCCTTCGTGCGTGTGCCATCAGCTGCTTCAAGGAGGAGCGTGAGAAGTACCTGGAACTTTGGGTAGGGCAAGGCCGCCCTGACGTTCGGGATAAGTCCCAAAACGATGAGACAGCCTTTACTGATTCCATCGCTGAAGCTTCCATGTCCGCAGCGCATGCAAGGGCTGCAAAGGCTTTGGAGCTACTTGCATTTTGCTCTGCTGAGAATGTACGTGCGTGGGTTGGCTCAACATCTGGCGAAGTCTACCTCTTCAATGCTACGGGAGCTGATAGGTGCGTCTGTTTGTGGTTTCATTCAGCTCATTACGAGTACAGCGCTGATGCTGTTGAAGTTGAGTGGCATGCACGCAAGGTTGCCCGGGATGAGGTGGGAGGTCTTAAGCCGCCCACATTGTGTGAAGGTGTCTTGCTGGGATTGAATCCGGCCATCGTGGCCCAGACCCGGCTTTTGGCCATTTCCCGCTGATCTCCGGATGCTTTCCTCGGACTCAGGTATGGATTTGATTTTGCCGGAGTGTCTGGAGCTTTAAAACCTGCGCAGCGGCGCGTCCGAGGAAAATCCAAGACGTGGCGCATGGCGAAAATGGAGACCTCTTGAAAACAAACAGTGCTTCTCTGAGTGAAAGCAGGTGTGATGAATTCATATCTTCTTCTCAGGTAGGCTCGGCTGACCCTCCTGAGGCTCCTGTTCCTGAGGAGTGGACTTGTGATGTGCCTGGTTGCACCTTCGTGGTGCAAGGGACGCGAGCCCACGTGTCTTCCACCAGATGGAGGCACATCCACTGGATATAGGTCACGTGGGTACGCCTGGTTCTGAGCGTGCCATCCCTTCGGCTGTTGCCCTTTCTGCTCTCCCCGCGGGGGTTACCTTGGGCTTGTCCATGATGTGAACTTGGCTTCCTTGCGTTCTGTGGTCACCGAACCCACTGCAAGGCCCCGCGCTGCCTGCGCTGCCCTCAAGTTAAAGATCCAGAGATGCAAGAATCAGACCATCAGTCCATTACATTGAGGGTAACATTGAAGCCCGCCGACTCGGAGCCAAGAAAACGAAAGAATGCAGCCGCCAATAGAATTGTATGTATATATTTAAATGTTTTCTGTAAGTATTAAATTCTTGCTATTCTTCCGCGAGTTCTAATTGGATAAGCGCTGAGCGCCAACTGTAACTTTCATTCATGTGTTGTGCATCCATGCTGTTTCGGGTCTTCTCAGGCATTAATTCTGAGTTGACAGGTTGCCGCGCACATAAATTCAGGAGAAAGATCCGGAAGGCGGCCCTTTCCCGGCGTACCCGTCGGGCAAGACCTGGGATGAGCCGAGTGGCAAGACTGGCAGCGGCAAGAAGTTCTTCCACAACATCATCGATGGCTCCAAGGATGGGGATGTAGGGAACAGAGAGTAACATGAAACCTTGATTTGAACGACGGCTGTTCATTGCAGGTTCCCACAGAGCCTTTCTACGTGGCCATCATCACCCCGGTGATCCACTACTGCATGGGAGGCGCGGCCGTGTTAGCCAATAGCATCGTGTAAGCGTGGACGCGCATGGATCGCAAAAGGCAGTTAAGCTAAAAGTTCATGAGGTTGGGGTTCATTGCCTGGGACCCCTTGTGTGCTGCGCCTGTTGTCCCAAGCATCCACAACGAGGGAAGCAGGTTAGACATTGTAGATGTCTTTTGATTGGAGCTTGCTCGCCATGCTCGTTTTGCCTGAGAGGCCTGGAGTGCACCACAGAGGCGGAGTGCATTGACAAGTCCGGGAAGCCGATCCCGGGTCTTTACGTGGCTGGCGAGGCAGCTGGAGGAATCCACGGCAACAATCGGCTCGGTGGCAACTCTTTGTTGGATTGCGTGGTCTTCGGCCGCGTCGCCGGTAAGGCGGCCTGCAAGTACACGTTTGGAGCGGCAGACAAGTTTAAGCCGTGCCCCACTCCTGGTGAGATCAAAGACCTCACAAAGTGAGGCCACCATGGGCATGGCTTGTCGTGAGCACTTTTAATTTCTGAATTGTGGTTTGAGGTGTCGCCACTGGCGATACAATTGGGTTTTGTCTCTGCGCCTCCGCCCTCCGAGTGAACGTTTCGTCCACGTGATGTCTACGTGGTCTCTTCGGAGCTGTGGCAAAATCAATGAAGCATGCACGGCAAGTGGTCAGTCTTTGCTGGCTGAGCACTTCCTCTTGCGCTTAGGCGGGGCTTGCAAAGAAGCTCATCATTCGATGCAGCGCTGGCGCAGACTGTGTCATGGCAGCATGATTTCGACGGCTTCTTCAGAAGTACGGCAAACAGCTGCGTATTTGAAAAGACAGCAGCTCCTTCCTTAAACAAATGATTTGTCGTCTGATGCAAACTGGTCTGCCACACTCCAGTACTGGTATTGCCACTTGGGGTTGTATAATAACC